GAGACTAGTCCAGAAATATAGCTTACAGGGGGAGCCAGCGACTCAGCTTTTGTTAGCGCAGCTGGTCCTGGGCCGGGCCCGTGCTGGTCTTTTGTTCGCCTTGTCAGGCCGGCGCGTGGCTCGTCATGTTTCGATGGCCTTTGTGCGGAGGATGGTTGTGTCCCCCCCCCATTAAGGCCTATGTCAACACCTGTTCAATTGTGTGTTTGGGTGGAAGTGCAAAAGTTGGTCCCATAAGGCTAAACTAAATCTTGTTACCGGTGCAACTTGATATCGTGCGCTGTAGCGACAAATGAATCACCATTCAAAATCCACAAAAAAGGGAATCAGAATTACAAATTAATTAAAAATAACAATGCCTAATAATATCAAGTTATATATTTCATCTGAAACAAAATAAACTTACGCCAAATGGGCAAAGAATGGCAGGGGACAACTGTTTCTTTGTCTTTTAGACCATAACTTCTAAACATTTTGGATTTATTTTCTGACACTTGTTGATATTACTGGAATCAATGGCTTGTGGTAATTTCTGTCCCTTTAACGTCGCTGGGTTTTAAAGATTCCATTTTGATTAGGATCAACGTAATGAAACAAAATTGTGACCACATCGTGAAAGTGGCAAAACCTGAGCGCGAGTTTCTCCATTATAATAAAAATGTGTGAATATGTACACTTGAAATAGGCCTAAATAGAGATAAAAAGTGGCAATTATACCGACTTGAACCAGAAACAAGTTTTTTTATTTGCTTTGCCAACGATTGGCATTGAGCAGGTCGCCACGCGCACGTGACTTGCGAGGTTTTAAATAGCGTAGGGTAATTATAGATCTATGATTGTAATTTGAAAAGAACGAGACTATCTTAGTATGAATATGCATTAATCAGCATATCAGCATTTTTGCACAATCAACATCAACTGTAGTGGCATACTGAAACTTTAAACTTTGTTCAGTGGTTCAAAAATACGAAAAGAACACGGCGCTTATGTTGAGATTGCTACCAAACTCAGGCTTTAAAACCGAATACATTTTTGTGCGGTGAAAATTGATGAGGGTTCCTTTATTCTTTTAGGAAAGTGCCCGTTTTATGAATATGACCGCAGTACAAAATAATCATTTTCAAACTTTGAGGAGGCAGTCAATCATTATCGGTATTAATCTTGTTTTCTTTTTTTAATAATCTTAGCAAATGCATTATTAGAGCTTAAATTGAAGATGTTCGTGTCGTTAAGTCAGGAGACCCGGAGTTATTTTTCCTTTTACACAAAATTGTGAACGGTTTGACCAAAGGTCAAGTGAAAAGGGGTCAACTTTTGAATGTTGAGATTTACAGACGCTAGGCAAATAAGTCGAACTTGAAAAAGCCAAAGAGTTGGACTAAAATTCTTCCACAAGAGCCGGACCACATGGAATGACTTCACATAGTAAACCCCCAAACTATACCGTATTCTATACCGTTTCAGAATGAGTTCAGATTCAGAGCAACATGCATTCCTATTCTTGAACCTATTAGCTTCAATTGTCAAAGTTTATTTCTGGATCTCAACATCCGCCCCACGTCAAGTAACTGGTCCTATTTGATGGTCAAAATGGGTTTATTGTTTCTTATAAAAAATGTTGCACCTATTGGTCTTTGTTTAAATGTTTCTGGGTTACTTGAATGCCAGATGACGTAGGCCTTTGCTCAGGAATATGCCTTTTTATATGTAAGACAAATTGCCTTTTAAAACTTTCCGCTGTGACAATTTCATGTTTCCGAGGAGGTCGACACATCCTGTCCATCCAGGGGCAAACTGGATTGCTCACGCATCCCTTTTTCCATGTGAAGTTGATCTTTATCGAGATCCCGTCGTTTGCTTCAATATGAGATTACACACGACTGTAAGTACAGAACTGCAAGGTGCTACTGCTGAGCCGAGTAACACTGGAATTCGAGAGGGCTTTTGTCTGATACGCAGTTGCACATTCCATTTCGCATTAGCAACGCGCGGGGAACCATGTTTGTGAGTAGACGCAGCTGCGTATGTAAATGATGGCACACTTTCAGGACAAACGGGAGAAGTCCTATAACAAGTCAGAAATATACCGTATCTTCCAAAATAATGTGTGATAATAAGCCTTTTGCGAGTTAAACTTAAATAAAATCTGGTACAATTAGACAATATGAATTCTCCATACGAAAGACATGCACTGTTGCTATACCTCGTGATTTGTGGTTAGCTTTTGCTTAGTTACATAAGAGACGCCTTGCACCAATACACTGTTTTCAATAGATAAGAAGGGCACAAAGGAACCAGTCCATTCCAGAGATGGCGGTCGCTATGCAATAGCTTGCCCCGAATCACGAGGATTAGCAACAGTGTTTTTAGGCTGGGGAATTCAAATCATTACATGCAATAAGATAACTCAGTGTACCAGATTTTATTCAAATTTAACTCGCTTAGTGGCTTAGTGGCATTCCACTTTTTCTGCTTGTTTCTTTGTAAGCTTTATAATCAGAAGTGAGCATTTTTGTATGAAAAGAAACAAATATGCTTAATTCCCAAGGAGCAAATCATCGAAACGGTAACAAAACTAAGGAAGGCAGCGAAAATAGCAGAACAAGACTAGAAAACATGTGAAGAAAATTCTTATGTAACATTCTGTGGTTGTCTTGTGAAATTGAAATCTTGGGATATTAAAGGTTGGGACTTGGTTAGCATGACTGTCACTTGTAAAATTGATCTGAGTTCGTTGCAAATTATTTTTAACAGGATTTAGGTGGACTTGGTATCAGGGCCAACAACCTGGTCCGTTTGACCAAATGATCACTAAAGTTAATCTTCTAGGGCAAATTCCCGGCTCAAAGCGAGAAGAAAACTGCCAAATAACGTGAGCTGAAACCACTGTGTAACATGAATGATGTGACGTGGCTTAAATCCTGCGATTAAGACTGTGCTAAGCAATCCACACGATTTTTTCCATGCTTTGGAGACCTAATACTCGGTGGAGTATACATATATCATTTTAATATTATTAAGCAAGCTAGCTCGACTGACAAAGCGGTGGAGCGTTTGCCTTGACTTGATCAAACAACGGGCACGTCAACTTTGCTCCATTGTGCATATGAGATTTAACGGGATCCACTGTCCAACGGAAGAGCTGATGCGTTATACCTCTTTAACTTAATCCTCTGCACCTGCTGCCGTGCCCCCACATATAACGTTTGTTTCTCGTTAGACCACGCGTAATCCATACCCTCACATTTTACCTCCCAGCTGACGGAAAGAAACAATGGTTCCTGCTTTCCTGGGAATGTTTGAAAACAAATCTTTCAGTCCACTTGGACAGAAAGGCGAACTCGGCTTTTTTAATCACTGTTATTCCTCTTTAACAAAGAGAGTGCTCCCTGCTTCCGGTCCAAGCTGTTGCCTGTTAAGATCTATACGTTGAAAGTCGACATACAGAAGCCAATACCAGGTAAGCCTTTTCAGGCAATAACTGGTCGGAGACCCTGGGTGTATCATTGTCCAATCTTTATATTCCTTTAATCCTCTTATCTTGTGGGCAGCTCCATCGAAGCGGGCAGTCGCGTGCCGTTTGTAAGAGTCTTCATTGATCTAGACATAATTACAGTAAATACCGCCCTCGAATATTCTGAGGGGATTTGAGATGTCACAAACGAAATGGTTCTGAAACGCAATAAAATGTTATAGACTCATCGTTGATAGCGATCTCTGGGACAAAGGACCTTTAATTCCCCAAAAACAAATCCATGCAGGGATGGAAGGGAAACCACACCAACTGCTCGGTGGCAAAGCTAAGGTGTGCGTGTGTGTGTGTGTGGGGGGGGGACTGCCCCCATGGAAACCTTCCCTTTCTCACACCCCTCCGGAAAATTAGAATTTGTTTGGGAGAGCTGTTGCCACGCCATCTTTAGTGCTGATGTGCGTTACTTTAGAGTGGGTATAGACCTATTTAACAAGGTTCTTGAAAAATAAAAGAGTTGTCCATTACACAAACTCGGTGGCGTATCGGGGGGGGGGAGCAACTGCCCGGGTGAGAACTCTTGCTTCCTCCTTTGAGAAGAACCTGGCCATGTATAACTGCAACTGCTCATTATTTTGCGTGTAACTGGTGAAATCATCACAGAACGTGCAAACCACTAATATGCAACATTCAAAATATCCACGTTGGCAAAGTTACATCTAAAATTAAATAGGGAATAAAGAGTGAATTTCAATATTTGATTTGAATTTTAGGACAAATTATGAGATTGGGGACGCTTCCAAGAAGAAACAATTTTTTTTTAGAGTCATTTGCACTATATGGATATCATTGTGTCTACCCAGTAGTTGTTAATCATTTTACCGTTAATCTGTCGCACCATCTACATAAGAGTCTCCCTGATTGATGAAGAAATGTCTTAAAACAAATTGATCTTTTGAATTTGTTAATAAATTACTTTAATTGCCAATAAACCGCTGATTGATTATTAAAAGACAAGGACGTCCATAATTCTGTTTAGATTTCGTTTTACTTGGAACAATGGACTCCTCGTCAATTTGGCGCCGATTCGTCGTGATGACGTCTCCGAATCTAAAACGTCATCTAACACATTAGAAGTTATACGAAAATGTAATATGTAAACTCAATTTCATGATTAGCATAGAGCTTAACTAATTAAACACGTAGTTTACCTTGGGTTAGGTTTCAATGTTTAATTTATTTGTCTCAGAATTCTGAAATAAAAAGAGACCTCGAATTGTTGGCAAAAATTACCAGGGTAAGGTTAACACACTCTTTTTATGATAGGTTGGCTGAGCGCGTCACTTGTTATGTCACCCGTTAGCCAATCAGATTTGCCCGTGCACGCTTACATATTAATGCACAGAGCCTGGGCACAGGATGGGATTGGAAGTTGCCAGAGAGAATCATTACTTTATGAATTCAGCTTGATAACAATAATAAGCTAGCTGGCTGTGGGCCCACTGTCTGCGTACGCACGCTCGAGCGGAACGGTTCGTGCGCTGATGAAGAGCAGCGCTGCCTCACGAACCGTCATTACACACAAGGCATTTGAAGAATAGGGCACACCTCACTCAACGACTGGAGCCTTTGCATCTTTGTTCCGGTTATCTGCTGCCGACTGGAACGCGCATTATTCTGTTTCCTTATCACCTTGGAAGAAAGTTTCCACCAACGCATTGCTTTATGCTCGATAAGTTTTGGAACTGATGAAAATAATTGCAGGTTATTGTTAATTTTTAGTCAAGGACTGCATTCAACTTTAATACCAATCGGATATATATTTCGCAGCACTACATTCGATTTGGACCTAGGGAAAAAAAATTGACCTGATATCCAGGATCATGATAGCGACGCCACCTTCGCAAGCACTTGCTGGATTATCTTAACGGACGGTGGAGAATATATCTCAACTCCCCGGAGACTTTGAAAGGATTTATAATCTCCGTTTGTACTCAGTTTATTTTCTCCGGGGCAAAAGTGGGCACGAATGCGAGGAATGCTCCAATAGTCCTGCCTGGATGCAGTTACGTTCTTTGGATTTGGCTTTACCGTCGCGGACCGCAGCCCTCACCACCGGGATGGGCGTGTGCCGAACCTACGGCCGCCTGCTGTTCGCGGCCGCGCTACTTCTCAGTCTTGGTAAGTGGCTTTTATTTTCATTCGTATCACTTTCGTGTTTGTACAAGGAACAAGTCTCTTTACACTGTCATAACAACACAAGATATCTCTGTGGTCTTTTTCTTGAGATCCACGTATCAATATTAGGAGTCTGTTCCGCTTTCTCTGTCGCTAAATACTCGGGAATAGGCATAAGAAAGAGTAAACTCTACTTCATTATTACATCATTGCAAAGTTAGAAAATAAAATGACAAACTAGGCATGATCAAATTCATTGTCAAAAATTATAACCAGCAAGAAATGAGACGGAGGGGTAAGCCCCCGTCCTGCATGTCCAATCCCCATAGACACAGTCTAGCTTATGGTTACCTGACAATTCCCCCCTAGATTTATAAAAAGAATTCCTACGATTCCAGTAAAACAATGACCAACACAAAGCAGGAGGGGGCTTCTCTGCTCTCCGTCGCATATCTTAACTTCAAATGGTAAAAATAGGTTATCGTAAAATAAACAAGTTTGGATTACAGAAATCTCCACCAGGATAGCATATTGTGAACCCTTTGCAATATTTTTCCGACAGATGCTCCACAGGTACTTTAATTACCATAACACTGTTTTCACTAGTTTGGGTTGAGAAAAAAACCCTGCTAAAATGACGCAATAATGGATGCGATAGGAATAATATCTGGACGTAATATTAACCGACAAAATACAAAATTATTAAAAAAACAACGTGCAGGTAGTAAGCACCACTGTGAATTGTGGAAGTTAATAACAGTCACAGACGTACAGAGCCTTTATGATACGTTTTCAATGATAAACAGTACGCTGATGAAAACATTGTCGCTGTTGGCTTGCGAATACGGGCTCTTGTCATGCATAGCTCTTCATTTCGAGGAATTCGAAGGACTACATTTCATATGATTCTCGTACATAAGGGTTGTACGAACACATAGAGTGCGCTAGGTTTCTAATGCCCTTACGCTGCTCTGGAATATAACAGAAAAGTTCCAAGACGTAACAAGTAGAGGACTAAAGAAAAAATATGATCTTGAACTTTACAGGTACTGGTATCGTTGTTGACGGTCTGTAGAGAGTTGAAGGTTTGTTTAAAGCAGTATTATATATATGAGTTTTTTTTTTCTCAGCGCAGCTATTGCACTAAAACTCGCCTTCTATAGAGGCTTTGCATGGTAGCCATCTTGCAGGGCAGTTCTTTGTTCCACAGGAGGGGCCTCCTTTGTGCATACCCCATGGAACATAAGCACTGCTGTACAAGATGTTAGCCTCGCATACCTTCTCTCTCTGTATATGCACAGTCTGCATGAGGGTTAAGTGTTGAAGCAAAAGTATAAACGGTTGAATTAAGCTTCCTTAATGTCATTCTTTGAAAACACAAAATAATTTTGTAGGAAGCAAAGCCATTACAGTGAGGACCTACATCATGCTCACCACTGAATGTATTTAATTTTTGTCTTCAACTAGGCCTATGCAAATATTTATACGGATGATTTAAGGCCGGGCCGGTGTGCAGTTTTTACGCGTCAAGAAAAAATGCATTATACTTCCCAAGAGTTTTTGTCAGTCGTGCCGATGTTATTTTCCAGAACACTAAGTTAAATTTTTGTGTCATTGGTCTTAAAGAAAACTGTAATATGGTCTCGTTATGTGGCGGTAATGAACGCCACACCAAAAACATGTCACCGTGACGCCACAATGGTGGAAAACGCTGCAATGCACCCGGGACGCTTGGCGTGGGAGTTCACGATAATTGATACGCCCAAAAGCAGTCGCCACATCGCTCAGCATCCCCCAATAGGCCAAATCCGCTGGGACGAAAATTGGTTTAAATCTAATGCTACAAATTGGATTCAATCTTCTGTGACATTTAAAGGGGACACCTTCCCCGAAGAACGCCAAACCGCTTGGTCACATTAGAGAGAATTGGAACCACATCGGGAATATAATTTTGGGCAGATTTAACATTTCGATCCGTCGGCTCATTGTCCATATGCAAGTAGCTAGTTTGTTAACTACAAATACCAATCATTCCCATCTAGTGTGCTGTTATGAACATAAATACCACCTCGCCTTATTCTACGATGAGCTGCAGACCCTTAATAGTTATCATATGAATATTTCATGATACCACGCCTAAACATAATGGAAATCAATCACCTCTATGACTTAGTGTTATTAAATGTTAATGCCGATTATCTTTCCCAGTTTGAAATTTTGCGCTTTCTTTGTACCTTAACCCTTTTATTCTTCGTGAATCATGCTTAAAGTTACCCGATAACTGATACATCTTTGGGGCTCCCTGAAACCGTTCCCTCGCCTCAGACTGTTTCTTTTCACACTAGAGATTCTAAGCTGTATCTCTCCCTGCATCATGTTCGGTGAACTGGTCCATGGAAATAACAAGTTGCCTTTATCACAGGAACTTTTCATTGCTACAATTGGAATGCATATCTGGCTGCTTCATTCTCTTTTTTAGCGATATTAAAATAAAAACACAGGCATTCCGCATTTCCGTCTTTAGTTGTTATTGTCCCTGATTATTTTTTCAGTTATTCATTAAGTTTTAATGCGACTGACAGCAATGGGTTACAAAAACAGAAAATTTATTTTTTATATTTTAATTGTCAGTTCGTAATGTACAAGTGCGTAAGGTAATGTGCAGGCTTTCTATGGTTGCCAAGTGAGCAACAGAGTTCATGTCGATAGTTAAGGTCTGGTAACATCGCCTACCAGCAAATGTTTGTTTCATTTCAGAAACAGCAATCCAAGGACAAAAATACGGTCCTGGATCCAAGGATTGCCTGACCAAAGAGAAAGAGAGAGAGTGAGGGGAATCATTTAAACTAAAGGTCACTGCATAAATAGAGTGGTCATTCCTAAATTTTCCTCTGTGTTTATAAGAAAACCCGTTAAAAGACTCGTTATTCTTGGGCTGTGATCACCATTCTACGCTGGACTTTCCTTCTGACAGTTTGCTAGACTGTTCCTTGACCTTCCTTCTTCCACACATAACCCTAACTCCCCCAAATGCCTCTTTTTGGTTGGGGAGGGGAAATGTTGCGAGGACTTGGGAAGTCCACACGACGTCGACGTCTCCACCGCCTGCCTTGCGTGGACATTTCTTGTTCTCTGGAATGTACACACACGCCATGCCTTCCTGACGACAGTGTCCTTACACACCCAAAGTGCACAATGTAGGCCCGACTGATCAGTGTCGATAATTCACTCTGGTAACCCGACAGCATAATATTTGGTGAACTGATGTCTTATAGTGATTTTTTATTTGAACGCATAATCTCAACTTTGAATCAGCATAACCCAGTTAACAATAAGCCTCTGGTTCGAAGTGTGCCATGTCCATCCAGTCACTTACTAACATAGAAGTGTGAATCAGGTATCGAAGACAAATTAAGTACTTCAAGCAGGGTAGTTACACTGACAGCGACAAAGTTATAACGTTCCGATGTAAATCCGTCATTTTCACATCTTCTCTCTATATCGGTTGATGGCTGGCAAAAGAAAAAATGGTTAGAAATACGTTTTGCGGGGAATAAGATGTATACAGAGAGGCAGGGCCACTCTCAGATGAAAACCCTTTGAAGTCTTAATTCTTAAATTAATCAACAGAAGTTATGACTCACGATACATATTAGTCACGTGATAACAGTCATCTGAATATAAAAGAAGTCGATCAGCTCAGAGGGCATGATTAGACCGGTTAGGTAGAGTGGGGTCCAGGAGTAAATCATACTGTTGGATCGATCGTGACTTAGCTGTGTACAGCTAGGAGCAGCTACTGAATAAGCTGGTACGTACTACACGTGGCTAATCAATCGAACCTGTAATGAGATGACGCTGAAGGTGCAATACCCATATATACGTGCATGCAGTATGTTTAATATTACACATAACTTGCGTTGTTGGAGTCGTTTATAGTCCTGTCTCGGTGTCAGCCTTACCGATGTGACATTCGGTCGGCGAAGACCGAAGCCTTAAAGGGTAGCTGCAATGAACTTTTCTTTGACACAATATTCCTGCAAGTTCTGTACTGTACTCTTCCTCAATGTGTGAAAACATTTTACATCCCTATTGGTTGAAAAATGTACTTTTAAAAACTTTAAAAAATCCTGGACAACTGAGGGCGCTGTTGCCGTGGTGTCTTCTAGGGATGACATAGTTCAGTGCAAAGGGTTTTTTTGTGCATATTGTGAACCCAGAATTTAATTATATTGAAAACATTTCTGAGAAAAGGGTTGATGCTTGCTCATAGCTATGCATATAAACGACAAAGAAATTAGTAAAGAAGAGAAAATTTGGTTCAGCAAAAGCTACAAGAAAATCAGCACTTTTTTGTGTACAAACCAATGTAACATCGAGATTTCTTCCTGGGATGACAACACATTTTGAATCTTGAATATGGAAATACTAATTAGCCAAAAACCTCAAGAGGCAGTAAAATTCTGTTTGAAACATTGAAACAAAAGTTGAAAATACATTTAACTGAGACATAAAGGTGCCTCGTCAAGGTTTGTATTTAAACAAACTGATTGCAGCTACCCTTTCAGTTTCAAATACAAGAACAAAGGAAAGTAAGAACCCCAAATAAAACCAAACAAAGATGTATAGTTTAGCTCAGATTGAATTCAAGATAGTTTGTCCTACAATGATCTGTCTAAAAGGTAACGCCTTTTTCTTTTAATCATTGTCTTACGGCTAAACCCCAATTACACATCACGGGGGAAAAGAAGCACACTATTTGTGTGGGTTTGTTGCACTTTTCATCAAATATTTGGCCGTCTGCCAATGCCCATCAAACATAATGATTCGGTTTCTAAAAGAAACAAATGTGAATGCACATTCCCGAAGGGGCATGCATACTATTTGTATTATTATCATTATTACTATTATTTATTTTCATGTATTCTGTTCTCGTTAATGACCACTGCACGAGCTTTAGAGCCACATATCCATACGTATTCACACTGAAAAAAAATGCACGA